AAAAAAAAAAAAGCAGCCCAACACCCAAAATAGCCAAACAGCTGTCACATCTACCTGCAACAGAAGAGGTTCCATGCTTCCAAAAGTGCTCTGATCATGACACAAGGATAGAATCAAATAATCAAGATATCTCCTCCAACGAGTAGTTCCCCCCACAATCTCTGTTACCTATGAAATAAGTATGGGAAAGTAACTACCTATAACATTTCATGTTGCTTGTCTACCAATATCTAAAAAGTTCCAGTCTTTCTATGATGACGAATGTCAAAATGAGATAAGTGAGAGGAGAACCAAGCGGAGGTCTCTATAGTCCAAATTACGAGTACGGAATCCAAGAGTTCTCTCGACATATCCCATCTCATTGTCACCTGAGCCCTTGCCTTGCTCGTTCAACAGGTCAGCAAATGCGCCCCCGAACTCGATCCGCATCAATCTCACAGCAGAGACTAGTAAAGCCACAAATTGAGGTAAAAGAAGAAAATCTTATACAAGTTTCAAATTTGATGCTATATATGAGGTGACACTTCCAAGTTCAACGGAGCACCTGCTCTGTGAGGTGATACTTCCAAATTCAACTTTGGTGCATTGCTTGCATTATCAGAACGACCTGTAGCGCAACACAGAATGTGTATTTTTTATCTAAGAAACATGATTCTGATATGCTTCAGTCACGAAAGAAACATGTAAACATAAATACAAACTTTAACTCAATTATGATCGCCAGAGTTTCAAAGTAGTGTACCTTTTCTGTTCCGGTTGGTTGACGTATGTACACGACCTGGAACACCATATGACCATAATATATATCAATTCATCCTCCAAGAAAAGATGCAGTACTTAATTCAAGAAAGCTAATCAAGTCTAATCCTGCTAACAACAAAACAAATGGAGACAAAACGAAAACAAAGGAACAAACTTTAGTTCACGGGCTCAATTTTTTTTTTTTTTTTCTTTTTTTCGAATTATCGGAAATTTCAAGCAGACCCAGAAGCTGGTTTGTCACCTGGTTTATTCATCGGAGGTGAAGTTATAGCCGGCTTGTTTCCTGAAGATTTCTGATTATTATGCTTCAGTAGGGGCGCTGAACCAGAAGAGACGACGCGGAGAGTCACCGCCGTAGTTGTATTCGGGTTATGCAATGAAACCGAAAGTAAGCTGGCATTATGTGAGAAACACCCGCGAGCGTCCATAGCTTAATCGTACAAGAAGGCAGCTGGTAAAATGGGCGAGGGAATGGATGAAAGGAGAAACTCAAAAGATAGAATTGAAGTGCAATTTTAATTTTGAGTTGGTGAACTCTAGTGGACTCCCGTTGATATCTAGTTTTAAACTTTTAACCATTTTTTTTTTTTTTTTGCAAGTTAAATATCTAGATTCATTCGACCAATGTCAAGAAATCGCAAGATCTCGAAAAAAAGGAAGAGAAAAAATACAGCATAGAGTCCGTCCAAAGAAACTAGTCAGACGCCCCTAAAGCCCATTTAGCTAGCTCATGAGCAATAAAATTATTAGTTCTAGCAACATGACTACAAACATCACAATTCAAGGATGACAAAAGATTAATAATATCTTCGAAAACATGTTGCAACGTATCATTTGGAAAACGGTCAGTAATTTCATGGATGACAGAAAGAGCATCAGTCGCCACAGTTTGAATCATTAACCCAAATTATATAGTACAATGGAGGCCCAAACGTAAGGCTATAACTTCAGCAGCTGCCGGGGAAAATGATCTGGATTGTAGAGATGCGAAAGCGGCCCAACACACTCCCTCTGAGTCACAGATCCACCCTCCTAAACCAATCGACGCCTCATGTACAACTGCATCACAAAAAGGGTGAATCCATTTTTGCAGGTGCCAGACACAATCCAAGAATCAGCAGTCCCCCAGGTCAACGGTCGGTTTGAAGTGGCCGTGCATGAATATACAAGTCTCAACTCCTCAAGCCACCCTCGTCCAGATGTCAAACCTTGTTCGACACTTCTCCTTGTCATACCATGTCGTAGACGATTTCTTTCTTGCCAAATAAGCCATAAGGGAGTGGCAAACATAGTGAACTCATTTCTCCTCGGTCCATCAAGAATTTCAGTGAAGATCGGAATAAAGCCCATGTCGTGTTCGCCCGCTAATATGTCCCACCTGCCAGTCAATTTCCAAAGACGTTTGACCCACTTACAATCAAAGAAGACATAGTTTTGACTTTTAACTAGTACAACACCGTGTATTACGGGTGCTTTTTAATAAATATTCTTAAATTTTAAAGATAAATATAATTTATTATTTTTATACATACAATATGAATGTTAAATCGAAGTTCATCATGAGATGATTAATTTGATATATTATATGTGTAAAACTGGTAAAAAATACAAAAAAGTTATAAACTTTTTAAATACATTTACAATTCAATGTTTATAATAAGAAATGATGTTAAAATGCAATTGATACATACCATTCATCAACGGATGCTGCTTCCCACATAAATAGTCAGCACATTTCTAGATAATTTAGACCTAATTATTTTTGTATTGGAAGTAAAACTAAAATATATCCAAGTCTGATAACGAAACATGTAATCTTGCCACATATGATCTAGAGTCTGCTACTTAAGCTCAACACTTTCTGAATTAATATATAGAGGAATATAATTACAATTTGGCCTAAAAGATAAATAAACAAAAATTACTCCAGCCCGAATTTCTCTTATTTTTATTTACCTCAGGATTTTTGGTCCTCGTTTTTCTTAAAAGATGCGTCGTGTTTTAGTCTTTATATATAGCGTAGCATAAATACTTGCGTGTTGCGTTAATTATTTAGGCATAAAAAAATATATAGAAATACTATATATATATATATATATATATATATATATATATATATATAATAAAACTTAATGGTTGATTCCAAAAAAAAATCATAATATTTGAAATAATTTTAAATTAACATTTAAGAATTATTTCTCACAATTGTTTAATAAAAAAAAAAATCTTAATATGAATATCTAACTAATAAAGCAAATATACTAAAATGTAAAAATAAACAATGAAATATAATAAGGTAAGTCGTAGTTTAATTTTAAGTATGTACGTTTTAATTCATTTTTCAAATAAAAGTTTGCAAAAATTATATTGGTCATAATCATCAAAGATTGCAAAAAATATATTGTTGAAATTCATATAAATTTTAATATGTAAGTGAATAGTTGATATTTATATCATTCATTTTTACTAAGGATATTATTTATAAAGTGTGATATTCTCTTTATCTAACTCGTCATTTTAAATATCACACACACATATATATCATATAAAATTTTATTTATATCTGTGCATGCGAACATGATAGAAACTAGTCAGTTATCAAATATGTTCATGTTCTTAATTCTAAAAACCAACTCTAAAATGTCATGAGTCAAATAAACATACAAATCATATACTACCTCTTATTTTTAATATATGTCGTTTTGAGAAGTTGCACATTAATTAATAATATTTTTTTGGTCAATAATGACCTTATTTAATGAAGATAGAGATGAATGTTTTGAAAAAAAAATGAAGAGTGAATATGAAAAGACGTAATGCATTTATTAGTTAAACGAGGGTAATAATAGAAATATATGTACAAAAGATCCAAAACTACATTTATTTAGTTAATAGTTGATAAAACTAGAATGACATTTAAAAAAAATAGGAGGGAGTATTAAACAATTTTATACAAAAACATTAAAATAAAAAATCATACTATTAATTATCAATGTTCTCAAAACTGGATCGGTCATCGAACCGGTGAAGCTACTGGTTCAATGGTTCACTGGTCGGACCAGTGGTCGAACCGGTCGAACCGGTTTAACTAATATATAATTTATTTATTTATTTTATATGTATAATTATATATATATCATTAATTTTATAGCATATAATGACATTTTTCTAAATAAGAGTTGATAAATCAATATTTCAAGTATAGTTTACCATAAACAATACTAAATAAAGTTCACTAAAACAATAAATTAATAATGTAATATCTAAAGCAAGACAATTTAAATTACAAATACAAACTATAAAGTCATAAAACATCAAAATATATCCAATCCAACATTACAATTCATCAAACTACAAAATATTATTTCGCTCTTCGTTTTTTTTTTATTTCATCAATTTTTTTTTTCAGAACCGGTTCGACCGATCGAATCGGTGCCGGTTCACCGGTTTTGAACCGATTCGACTGGTTCGATTAAAATAATTTTCTTGTAAATTTCTCTGATTAATAAAACCAAAAAGAAAAGATTTTTTTTTTTTTTTTTTTTTTTTTTTTTTTTTTTTTTTTTTTTTTTTTTTTTTTTTTTTTTTT